ATGTGTCATATGTTGCACATTCTGGAATGAACATGAGAAATCAGAATTGAGCTTCCCAAATGGTGGGTCACAGTGACCTAGACTTGTTCCAGGAGAACACTGCAACATCCAACATGAGAAAGTGTTTTATGTACCATGTATGTGTTGGGATGCTGGGCTGAAATGTATTATCAAGCATTATCGTATTTGTCTATGGAATTCTGAAACCACCTTTGCAAAATTGTGACTGAGACAATGAAAGAGATCTAACTTAACTGACTCCATCTTGCTTCTAACCTCCAAGCTGTCCTTATTCATTCCTGGGCGTAGGCTGAACTAACTTTGGGAGAAAGTTAGTTTATAGTTTAAACAAAGATGGTAACAGCCCTTTCTCAAAGCAGACCTCCTTCTTGCCTGGGGACTAGATTGCCTTTGTAGGACTAATATTAGCCACAAGATTAAAAATTATGGTTTAGGAGTCATGCAACTGGAGGCTACAAGATTCTGACCCTCCCTAAACTGCTCCTAAGATCAGTGCCTGAGATATTTTGCAGACCCTGCACTTGATGGATCAGCTCAATAAACTGACTCATCTGATCTTGTGGTCCCCTCCCAGGAACTGACTCAGCACAAGAAGAGAGCTTCGACTCCCTTTGATTTAATCTCTGACCAATCAGCACTCCTGGCACACTGGCTTACCCCAACCCACCAAGTTGTCCTTAAAAGTTCTGTTCCTGAATGCTAGGGGAGACTGATTTGAGTAATAATAAAACTCGGGTCTCCCGCACAGCTGGCTCTGCGTGAATTACTCTTCCTCTATTGTAATTCCCCTGTCTTGATGAATTGGCTCTGTCTAGGCAGCAGGCAAGGTGAACCCTTTGGGCAGTTACAATTCTATTTAATACCTCTCTCTCTGCCAGGCACGGTGGCTCACACCTGTAATCCCAACACTTTGGGAGGCTGAGGTGGGTGGATCACCTGAAGTCAGGAGTTTGAGATCAGCCTGGCCAGCATGGTGAAACCCTGTCTCTACTAAAAATACAAAGTTAGTTGGGTGTGGCAGTGCATGCCTGTAATACCAGCTACTCCTGCTGAGGCAGAAGAATCGCTTGAACCCAGGAGGTGGAGGTTGCAGTGAGCAGAGATAGTGCCACTGCACTCCAGCCTGGGTGACAGAGGGAGACTCTGTCTCAAAAAAAAAAGCTTCCTCTCATATATGCTGATTAGGTCTCAAATTTGGATCTCCTACCTCTTACCCCAACATCTTTCCTGACAATCTTTCTTTTTAAATAAATGCTATAGAAATATTAAAATGTATTGTGAATAATATAACACCCACATACCACCATCCAATTTAAGAAATGAAGCATTACTAATCCAGTTTTGCTCCCTGCAAACGCATCCTTCTTCTCATTCTCTTTCCTTTCCCTTTATAAACACCCTGCAGCCCGGCACAGTGGCTGCACCTGCAGTCCCACTGTGGGAGGCTGAGACTGGTGGATCTCTTGAGCCCAGGAGTTTGTGGCTGTAGTGTGTTATGATTGCACCTGTGAAATAGCCACTGCATTCCAGCCTCAGCAACATAGCAAGCCTCCATCTCTAAACGAAATCCTGAATTTGACATTTGTCATTCCCTTGTTTTTATATTTCTAAGCACATATATGTCTACATATGTAAAAAAAATACTTAATTTTTACTTTTTTATTGGGGCAAAATTCATATAACACAAAATTAACCACTGTAAACATGAACAATTCAGTGGCATTTCAGAGAGGTGTGCAACCACTACCTCTATCTAGTTCCAGATCATTTTCATCACCCCAAAAGGACACCCCATGCCCATTAGTAGTCATTCACCATTTCTCCCTCCCTGTATCCCCTGCAACCACAAATCTACTGTCTGTCTCTATGGATTTACCTATTCTGGGTATTTCACATAAATGGAGTCATACAATATGTGTGGCCTTTTGTGACTAGCCTCTTTGAGGTAGCAGACATAATGTTTTCAAGGTTCATCGATGTTATAGCAGTATGAGTACTCTGTTCCTTTTTTATGGCTGAATAATATCTCATCTTATTGAATGGATAGACCACATTTTGCCTATGCATTCATCCATAGATGAACATTTGGGTTATGTGAATAGTGCTGCTATGCACATTCATGTATAGGTAGTTGTGAGTACATGATGTTGCTTTGGATTTCTCTAAACTTTATATCACACTGCAGCTTGCTTTGCTTGTTCAATGTTAGGTTATTTCCATGTTGATATGCACAGCTCTAGTTAATTCATTTTCACTGCTCCAAAGCATCCCATTTTAAAAATTATTTTATTACTTTTTTGAGATAGGGTCTTGCTCTATTGCTCAGGCTGGAGTGCAGGGGTGCAATCACAGCCTACCATAGCCTTGACCTCTGGGGCCCAAGCAATCCTCCCACCTTGGCCTCCATCTCTACAGGCATGTGCTGCCACACCCAGCTAATTTTTGTATTTTTAGTCAAGACAGGGTTTCTTCCTGTTGTTCAGGCTGGTATCGAACTCCTGGGCTTGAGCAACTCTCCTGCTTCAGCCTCCCAAAGTGCTGAGATTACAGGCATGAGCCACTGCGCCTGGCCCAAAGCATCCCATTGTATGAATCCAACAATTTATCCATTTATTTGTTTGAGAACATTTAGGTTATTTCTTGCTTTCCCTCTTACAAGCAATGCTGCAGAAGCATTCTTGTCCGTAACTCTGGCACATGGACAAGAGTTTCTCTAGGGCACATAGGTAAGAGTTTCATTGCTGGGTCATGAGGAATGCTCTTCTTCAAATGTACTTGCTATTGTCAAATATGAGCTCTCTTTCAGGAGCCTCCCAGTGGTCCTCAGCCCTGGCTATGCATTAGAATCAGCTGGGAACTTTTTTTTTTTTTTCCCCCAAGATAGAGTCTTGCTCTGTGACCCAGGTTGGAGTGCAGTAGTGCAATCTTGGCTCACTGTAAACTTCGCCTCCCAGGTTCAAGCAATTCTCCTGCCTCAGCCTCCCGAGTAGCTGGGATTACAGGCACACACCACCACACCTGGCCAATTTTTGTATTTTTAGTAGAGATGGGGTTTCACTATGTTGGTCAGGCTGCTCTCAAACTTCTGGCCTTGAGTGATCCACCCACGTCGGCCTCCCAAGGTGCTGGGATTACTGGCGTGAGCCATTGTGCCCAGTCTCACCTGGGAACTTTTTTTTTTTTTTTTTTTGAGACGTAGTCTAGCTCTGTAACCAGGCTGGAGTGCAGTGGCACGATAGTGGCTTACTGCAACCCCCACCTCCTGGCTTCAAGCGATTCTCCTGCCTCAGCCTCCTGTGTAGCTGGCATGCACCACCATGCCCCGCTAATTTTTATATTTTTAGTAGAGACGGGGTTTCACCATGTTGGCTAGGATGATCTCGACCTCCTGACCTTGTGATCCGCCCACCTCGGCCTCCCAAAGTGCTGGGATTACAGGCATGAGCCACTGAGCCCAGCCATGAACTTTTAAAATATATATAGGTATCTGGATAACTCCCCAGACTCACGAAATCATAGTCTCCAGGGATGGGACTGGGGAGCTGCAATTTTGAAAGCTCCCTGGGTAGTTACACAGCCAATGTGGAGAACAGCTGGAGATGAGTCTTGGCCCACGCTGTCTCAGCTTCCCAAGGTCAGCTCATAGAGGGAAGCCATCATCTTAGACTTGCTAATATCACTCAGCAGCAGAGCAGAGAGAAGGGACTAAATAAATAAGCTCTGAATGAGTAAACAAAGCATTTAAACCCTTTAAGCTGGACGTGATGGCGCATGCATGCAATCAATCACAGTAACTATCTCCTACAATTGTGAGGATTAAAGGAGATGATGCATGTAGAACACTTGGCACGTATTAAGTTCCCAATAAAGAGTGGCTCCTGCAGCCTGGTGTGGTGGCTCACACTTGTAACCACAACATTTTGGGAGGCTGAGGTGGAGAATCGCTTGAGGCCAGGAGTTCGAGACCAGCCTGGGCAACATAAAGAGACCCCCCCCCCCACCCCCGGGTCTACAAAAAATAATATAAATTAGCTGGGCGTGGTGATACACACCTGTAGTTCCAGCTACTCAGGAGGCTGAGGTGGGAGGATCAACTTGAGCTCAGGAGTTAGAGGCTGTAGTGAGCTATGATTGCACCACTGCACTCCAGCCTGGGCAACAGAGCAAGGCCCTTTCTCTAGAATAAAAAAGAGAGAGAGAGAGTAGCTGCCATTTTCAATGTTATTGATAAAGCAAGTGGGTGTTTCTGAAAATGCACCAGACACAGCCTTAGACTGGAAGGTGCTGATGTGTTACTGAGCCTCCAGACGAAGCTGGTGAACCCACTGGAGTGGGATTTTATGACTGGAGAAACTGTCCTATCTATGAGGGTCCATTTTAGGCAATGTTAAAGAATGGAATTGGGGGCCGGGTGTGGTGGCTCACGCCTGTAATCCCAACACTTTGGAAGGCCAAGGCAGGCAGATCACGAGGTCAGGAGTTCGAGACCAGCATGGCCAACATGGTGAAACTCTGTCTCTACTAAAAATACAAAAATTAGCTGGGCGTGGTGGTGTGTGCATGTAATCCCAGCTACTCAGAAGGCTGAGGCAGGAGAATCAGTTAAACCTGTGAGGCGGAGCATGCAGTGAGCCGAGATTGCACCACTGTACTCCAACCTGGGTGACAGAGCAAGACTCCATCTCAAAAAAAAAAAAAAAAAAAAAAAAAAAGAGATTGGGGGCAGTAGCTTACCTATAGCAAATGCTCAGTATGTGCCAGATATTGGGCAAAGGGGTTTGCAGACATGTATTATTTTATCCTTACAATTCATGAGGTAGGTATGACTATGCTTTCCATTGTGCAGAGAGGGAAAACGAGTCACACGGAAGCAAGTCATGCAGCAGAGCTAGGATTGGAACAGAAGTGGCCTGCAGAGCCTGCCTCCCAGCCCACTGTGCTATGCCTCCCATTGATGCTTTCCTGTGTCTGCCATTTAGCTTTGCCCTGGTGAGTGACAAGCTGTACCAGTGGAAAGAGCCTGCCATCAGTTCTGTGCACAGCAAGGTGAAAAGGATAGCAGAGGTGAAACAGGAGATCATGGAGAACGGAGTGAAGAAGTTGGTGCACAGTGTCTTTAACATGGCAGATTACACCTTCCCTTTGCAGGCGAGCACCTGGTAGTGTTACAGGACCCCAACACCCAAAATTAGCCATTGGGTCAGGTTTTTGCACTATAGTTCCTTCTGTGGTTGCCAGAAATACGTTACAGGAAAAGGGTCCCGATCCAGACCCCAAGAGAGGGTTCTTGGATCTAGTGCAAGAATGAATTTAGGGCAAGTCCGCAGTGCAAAGTGAAAGCAAGTTTATTAAGAAAGTAAAGGAATAAAAGAATGGCTACTCCATAGACAGAGCATCCCTGAGGGCTGTTGGTTGGCCATTTTTATGGTTATTTCTTGATGATATGCTAAACAAGGGGTGGATTATTCATGCTTCCCCCTTTTAGACCATATAGTGTAACTTCCTGATGTTGCCATGACATTTGTAAACTGTCATGGCACTGATGGGAGTGTAGCAGTGAAGAGGACCAGAGGTCACTCTTGTCGCCATTTTGGTTTCGGTGGGTTATAGCCAGCTCCTTTACTGCAACCTGTTTTATCAGCAAGGTCTTTATGACCTGTATTTTGTGCTGACGTCCTATGTCATCATGTGACTTAGAATGCCTTAACCATCTGGGAATTCAGGCCAGTAGGTTTCAGCCTCATTTTACCCAGCTCCTATTTAAGATAGAGTTGCTCTGGTTCATACGCCTCTGACATTTGTATTACACATCCATTGTGAGGTAGATGATACTAATCCCACTACAAATCAAGCCTTCAGGAGGTGAGGCAATGTGTGAGGTGGTAAAGCCTCCAGATTCAAAACTATGCTTGGGTCAAATTCCAGCTCTGCCACTTTGTGTGTGCAGTGTTGGGCCAAACACTTAGCACAGTTCCCTCATGTATTCAGCAGTTACTGAATATAATATGCTATTCTTCTAGTCTCTGGGAAGGAGCAGAGAGCAAGAACAAAATCTCTGTGCTCATGGACTTCACATGCTACGGCGGAGCAGGTCCTCAGAAAATCATCAAATGCACATCAAATGTATAAGGTAAATGGTGATGAGTCTAAAGTGAATGGGGGGAATGGAAGAGAACGAAGGTAGGGAGAATGTACATTAAGGGAAAAGGAGGGTTGCAATTTTAGAAAAGGATGTCTGGGCAAGGGCTCCCTGAGAAGGTGGCATTTGTACAACAGAAACACAGTATCTATTTTCCGGGCCTGTAATGAAGGTCTAATAAGAAAATGCATGGATTCGTAAAAAATCTTCAATAGGCCCCAAATGGACCTACAAGACCTCTACCCCAATGGATAAGGGAACGCTAACCATAGCAGAACGGTAATCGCGGCAGAACGTTGGCACAGACGGAAAGTTGATCGGTACGGAAAGTTTGTCCGAGGGAAACATTACTTATTGAGGAACGTTAATCCGGAACAAATCTTGGGCAGAAGCGGAACTTAGACCAGGACGCACAGTTACCATGGCAATGAGGCGCTCCCGAAGGGCGGTGGCAGCGACGCAGAGAGACCTGGGAGGAGACAGAGGCAGGGCTTGCGACGGAAGTGGCCTCTCTGCTTCTGCAGGGCTAGGGAAGATGCTGCGTCCGGCGTTACCGTGGCTGTGCTTTGGCCTCTGCAGCCTCCTGGTCGGGGATGCAGAGGCCCCGAGCCCCGTGGATCCGCTGGAGCGGAGCCGGCCGTACGCGGTGCTGCGCGGGCAGAACCTGGGTGAGCGGTCCTGGAGCTGGCGGGCGGCGGGTAGTGCCCGAGCTTTCACCGCTCCGGGTGCTGGAGCCGGGCTTACGGAGCGGACAGGGGATAGAGTGGGGAGATGGGCGAGGGCGTGGGGTGCAGGTGAGGCCTCTCAGGGGGCCCCGAGACTCCCTCTCCAAAAGCCTGGGGCAGAAGGCCTGAGCTTTACCTCTCAGCAAGTGCTCAGTATGTGCCAGAATTTTCGCCTCCCAGGTTCAAGCAATTCTCCTGCCTCAGCCTGCCGAGTAACTGGGATTATAAGCGCACCCCACTACACTTGGCTAATTTTTGTATTTTTAGTAGAGATGGGGTTTCACTGTGTTGGCCAGGCTGATCTCGAACTCCTGGCCTCGAGTGATCCACCCACCTCGGGTGGATCACCCACAAGACATGGTGTCCAGTAGGCTCTCAATATGTACTAGTTGCCCATGAATGAACTGCAATCCGGAGACCTGAGTCTCAGTCTGGGTCCCCTCCTGGCTGGCTGTGTGGGCTCAGGCTCACAACAAGGCACATCATTTACCTCACCCCTCTTCTTTCCCAGAGGAGCCAGTATTTATTGCAAAAATGGTAACAGTTTTTGAGCATTTCCTACATGCCATGTCTTGTGCTACACACTTTGTATACGCGAATTCATTTGAGCCTCACAGTAACTTAATGAGAAATGTACGGTTTACAGCCCTATTTTTTTTTTCTTTTACCATAGGGTATCCTCTGTCACCCAGGCTGGAGTGCAGTGGTGCTAGACTAGAAATTATAAAAACTACTCCTTTGCCATAGATAGTTTGAGAAATGCTGTCCTAGACAGTTCTGTACAGTAGGTATTTTTTTTTTTTTGAGACGGAGTTTCACTCTTGTTGCCCAGGCTGGAGTGCAGTGGCACGGTCTTGGCTCACTGCAACCTCCGCCTCCCGGGTTCAAGCAATTCTCCTGCCTCTGTCTCTCCAGTAGCTGGGACCACAGGCGTGAGCCACCACGCCCAGGTAATTTTTGTATTTTTAATAGAGATGGGGTTTCACCATGTTGGCCAGGATGGTCTTGATCTCTTGACCTCATGAATTGCCCACTTCGGCCTCCCAAAGTGCTGGGATTACAGGCGTGAGCCACCACGCCAGGCCTAAAACATTCTTTTAAGGTTCTGCCTGGGGCTGCCATTCAGGCATCTGTCACTGCATGCAAGGTGCAGGGAGAGGTGAAAAGATGGCGAGTGGGAGAATTGATCAGGACCCAAATGCATGGCCACTGTGTACCTAACAACTCATGGTTTTAAGCTCCTTTTTAAATTTTACTTTTATTATTATTTTTTTTGATATGGAGTCTCTGTCGCTCAATCTAGAGTGCAGTGGCGTGATCTTGGCTCATTGCAACCTCCACGTCCTAGGTTCAAGTGATTTCTTGCCTCAGTCTCCCAAGTAGCTGGGATTATAGGCACCCACCACCGTGCCTGGCTAATGTTTGTAATTTTAGTACAGACAAGGTTTCTCCATGTTGGCCAGGCTTGTCTCGAAGTCTTGATCTCAAGTGATCTGCCCATCTCAGCCTCCAAAAGTGCTGGAATTACAGGTGTGAGCTACTGCGCCTGGCATTTTTTATTTTTTAAAGGTAGATTTTCCATCCCCCAATTCCAATCTTCTGCATTCCTGCTTTGGGAGTTTAAATTTTTTTTTTTTTTTTTTTTTTTTTTGAGGTAGAGTCTTGCTCTGTCGCCAGGCTTGAGTGCAAGGGCGCGCTCTTGGCTCACTGCAACCCCTGACTCCCTGGTTCGGGTGATTCTCCTGCCTCAGCCTCCCGAGTAGCTGGGATTACAGGCACCCGCCACAATGCCCAGCTAATTTTTGTATATTTAGTAGAGACGGGGTTTCACCGTGTTAGCCAGAGTGGTCTCGATCTCCTGATCTCGTGATACGCCTGCCTTGGCCTCTCAAAGTGCTGGGATTACAGGCTTGAGCTGCCGCACACGGCTGGGAGTTTTAAATATTTTTTAGAGTGCTTCCAAAATGCGAGATGCAAGAAAATGGTTTATTTAAATAGAATAAGACAACTTTAAGTCCAATTGTAGTCCAAACCGTAGAAACTCAGAATTCAGGACTTTTGGAAATTAGGGCAGGTATTCAGTTAACAAGGGCTATTTTAAGACGTGACATTTAGTTGACGTAGGTTGTAGATTTTGTTTGACAAAGATCTTAAAATTACTTCTGGCCTTTGAAGTTATGACATACTGTCTTTGACACCTTCTCCTTCCTTCTTCCCCCTCACTCACCAAAAAAAGATGAGTTTTCTTTTCTTTTTTTTTTTTGAGACTGAGTTTTGCTCTTGTTGCCCAGGCTGGAGTGCAGTGGCTTGATCTCGGCTCACTGCAACCTTCGCCTCCTGGGTTCAAGAAATTCTCCTGCCTCAGCCTCCCAAGTAGCTGGGATTACAGACATGTGTCACCATGCTAGGCTAATTTTGTATTTTTAGTAGAGACAGGGTTTCTTCAGTTCTCCATGTTGGTCAGGCTGGTCTCGAACTCCCGACCTCAGGTGATCTGCTTGCCTTGGTCTCCCAAAGTGCTGGAATTGCAGGCCTGAGCCACCGCACCTGGCCTGATTTTTCTGTATAGTCGGTTTTAAAATAATAACTGTTTTAAGCGTGGAGGGTATGTTGGGGGGGTCACAGATACTACAGAGTTACTGATTTGAGTAAAACTATGATCAAATCTTGGTTTTTTTTTTGTTTTTTTTTGTTTTTTTTTGATGGAGTCTCGCTCTGTCGCCCAGGCTGGAGTGCAGTGGTGCAATCTGGGCTTGCTGCAACCTCTGCCTCCAGGATTCAAGCGATTCTCCCGCCTCAGCCTCCTGAGTAGCTGGGATTACAGGTGCCCGCCGCCACGTCCAGCTAATTTTTGTATTTTTAGTAGAGACGGGCTTTCACCATGTTGGCCAGGCTGGTCTCAATCTCCTGTCCTCGTGATCTGCCTGCCTTGGCCTCCCAAAGTACTGGGATTACAGGCATGAGCCACCTCGCCTGACTAAATCTTAGTTTTTCAAAGGAACAGTAATGAGACTGAAAAACAACTATGGTTAGGCCCCAGCTGAAACCTGGGATGGGCCCACATCGCTACAGACACACGTCAGTGTACATTTGCTGGTTTTGAATGCTTCCCAAGATCACTGAGATAGTCACAGAAACAAGATTGCATATCACTGCTGCTATTGAATAAACCTCTGAATGGTTGCTGGTTATGCTAGTTTATTTTTTTCTTTTTTGTTATGAGGTAGTTTAAAGCCCAGGTCCTTATCCTGTACCTCCAGGGCTCAACTTGAGTAATCAGTTGTAGTTCCCATTTCTCACCTGAGCACCTTGAAAATTTCAGTTGTGAAATTTAGTCTTAAAAACAACAGTTCTTTTCTTTTCTTTTTTTTTTTTGAGACGGAGTCTCCCTCTATTGCCCATGCTGGAATGCAGTGGCATAGTCTTGGCTCACTGCAACCTCTGCCTCCTGGATTCAAGCGATTCTCCTGCCTCGGTCTCTTGAGTAGCTGGGACTGCAGGCGCACGCCACCATGCCCAGCTAATTTTTTTGTATTTTTAGTAGAGACAGGGTTTCACCATATTGGCCAGGCTGGTCTTGAACTCCTGACCTCGTGATCCGCCTGCCTCGGCCTCCCTAAGTGCTGGGATTACAGGCATGAGCCCCCGTACCCGGCCAAACATAACAGATTTGTGGGTTAGTTGCCTCTTTGCTCATAAGGCCCTGTTGAGACTCATCTTGAGACTGAAATACTTCATTAAGTCTCCAGATTTTTATTAATGGCTTTAAAGGTATAGTTGGGCATCTTGCTCTCTTGCCCCACTATAATCGGACAATTCTCCACACAAAAGTCAGAGGAATCTTTTTTTCCCAACTAAATCAGATGATGTCATTCCTTTGCCTACAACCCCCCAGTGGCTTCTCTTTAAACTTAAAATCCATGTTTCCTTCATGGTCTCCAAGGCCCTGTACAGACCGGCCCCAGCCTTCCTCTCTGGCCTGATTTCCTGCCTCTCTTCCTGCACTCTTTGCCTGGTTGCCTCCCTTCTGTTCACTGAGTGTGTTGAGCTTATACTGGCCTCAAAGCCCTTCCCTAGCTGATCCCTGGGACTGCAGCACGCTCCCTGCAGAGCCTCACTCGTAAGGTCCCAGCTTTTTTTGTTTTTTTTTTTTTGAGATGGAGTCTCACTCTGTCTCCCAGTGGCGCAATCTCGGCTCACTATAACCTCCGCCTCCTGGGTTCAAGCGATTCTCCTGCCTCAGCCTCCTGAGTAGCTGGGATTATAGACACCTGCCACCATGCTTGGCCAATTTTTGTATTTTCAGTAGAGATGGGGTTTCACCATATTGGCCAGGCTGGTCTCGAACTCCTGACCTCAAGTGATCCACCCACCTAGGCCTCCCAAAGTGCTGAGATTACAGATATGAGTCACCACACTCGGCCTGTCTCAGCTTGTGAGTCTCCTCCTCGGATGCTTCCTGACTGTCCTACCTCCTGCTGCCCACCCCGTCTCCATCCCTAGCCCATTACTGTTTTTTTCATGGTATATCAAGATATGTGAAATGCTCTCACCTGTTTGTTTCTCCCCCCCACTATACATAGAGACAACTGGAGAGAGGATCTGTTTACAGCTGTTTGCACAGCACCTGACATAGTGCCTGGCAGCAAGTGGCATTTGATAAATCATTGGCAGTGAGTGGATAAATTGCCTAACCTGGAGCTGCCATTAGGAAGTAACCTGTTTTCCCTTTGCAGTGTTGATGGGAACCATTTTCAGCATCCTGCTGGTGACTGTCATCCTTATGGCATTTTGTGTCTACAAGCCCATTCGGCGTCGGTGACAGCCAGACAAGTTCTTCAATGAGTATTTGGGAATAGGATAAGTTGTGTTGCACACGGGTCAGTGGAGAAGTTGGAATCAAAACTTTCCTACTTGGAAATGACCTTTGGTCTGGACAGCTGGTAAACGCTAAATGAATTAGAAGAAAACATCTACTAGAAATTATTTTTTCCTAACACTGTAGTGCAAATAATTGGCCCCTGAATCTGCTTCTCAGTGTTTCTGACTGTACTTGTTAAAAGTAAGACCTGAAAGCTCCAAAGGTCAGTGTAAAGATGGAGTGTTCATGAGAAAGAAAACATTCACCTTGTGAGTGCCTGTAAGAACCACACTGGAAAGAACTCATCATTAATGCTTGAAAATGTTAATAGAGGGAGACTTACTATGTAGACATTCCCTATTTAAGAACCATTTGGTTACAGTGGGTTAAGAATCACAGATTTTTTTTTTTTTTTTTTTTAAATCTCACCTGAGTTGGCCTAGAATGCGCTGGTTGCAAAGTGGTGTCAGCTGTGGGGAACTTGGGCCCTCATTCCTTACCTGCATCCGGCCCTGCACTCAGGTGCTCCCCCTGAAGTCAGGGTCACATCAGGTAGACCTGTTACTACATGCACCTTTGGCCTGGAAGGCTCTGGGGTTGGACTGGAAATGTTACTAGGTTGGCCTCTCACAAAAAAGGACCCCATCCTGCTTAAACACATTGATCTCCGTTGCCCTGCATTTGAGTCTGTATAGCCCACGGTCTGAAACTTGAGGTAGCTTTCCAGATTTGGAATGTAAAAGGCTCAGCAGGCGCTCTGTTCATCCCTGGGTGGGGAGGGCCCAGCCAGAAGTGCATGTCCACTGTGCCCGCCAGTGTGTGTTTACACAAATTTCATCTCCGCTTTGAAAATGCTGCTATTAGTTTGCACTGTTGGTGAACTGGATTTTTTCCTCCTATTGAAATAATACTTTCATACTTATAAAGCGGTCGTCAATATTTATTTCAAGGTGCTAGATTTAATTTTGTTATTAAATTGAAATGCTTATCTTGTGTTCAAGCACAGCACTGATTTTAACAACCTGCATTTAATGTGAAATAACTGAAGCAGGATACTGTAACTGTTTAACTTAGGGATTTTGTTTGTAATCTTGTAACATTGAGCCATTGAAATGTTCACTGTTCTGTGCTTTTGAGCAAAATGTCAATTAAAATTAAAGTAAAATCCTATATATTGTTTTACTCCACCAATTATTTCCCAAGTGTTTGAAATGTGGGTATGTTTGAATTTGATCTAATCACTTAAAGAAGCTCTGTGAAGTGAATTTTTTTTTTTTTTTTTTTTTTTTTTTTCCGAGATGGAGTTTGGTTCCTATTGCCCAGGCTGGAGTGCAATGGTGTGGTCTCAGCTCACTGCCACCTTCACCTCCCGGGTTCAAGCGATTTTCCTGCCTCAGCCTCCGGAGTAGCTGGGATTACGGGCATGAGCCACCATGCCCGGCTAATTTTTTTGTATTTTAGTAGACATCGGGTTTTACCATGTTGACCAGGCTGGTCTCAAACTCCTGACCTCAGGTGATCCACCCGCCTCGGCCTCCCAAAGTGCTGGGATTACAGGCATGAGCCACTGCACCTAGCCTAAAGTTGAGATTAGGAAGTCTCCTAGTGTTGCCTGTGATTTAGTGGCTGTGGAGTCATATCAGCATGTTGTATTTTTTTCCACCTGGACCTCAGGCTTAAACCTATATATTTCTAAACAGAGGTCTAGGTGGTACTTTGAACTCCATCATTCATTGCACCACAGAATCACTGGAAATTTCCATATCCAGTTCATCTTCCTTGATGTCATTTATGGTCAGCAGGAGACTGTGACCAAGCTGGCAGTTGTGACAGTTTCCCTTTCCTGTCATTATTTAGAGCAGACTTCCACTTCCTTGACATGCCACGTTTATGTAGTGTGACAAGCTTGTTTACAGAACCTAAGTCCTAGCAGTGTCTAGAACCTGGTTCCTAGCAGTGTCTAACGTGCAGAAATTGCTCAATTAGTTTCTGGCCAGGCGCGGTGGCTCATGCCTGTAATCCCAGCACTTTGGGAGGCCGAGGCGGGTGGATCACCTCAGGTCAGGGGTTTGAGAGCAGCCTGGCCAATATGGTGAAACCCTGTCTCTATTAAAAATACAAAAAGCTGGGCATGGTGGCACACACCTGTAATCCCACCTTCTCAGGAGGCTGAGGCAGGAGAATTGCTTGAACCCGGGAGGCGGAGGTTGCAGTGAGCTGAGATTACGCCATTGCACTCCAGCCTGGGCAACAAGAGCGAAACTCCGTCTCAGAAAAACAAAAACAAAAACTTTCTGCTGATATTGGGCCACCTAAGCTTAGCTTTTCAGTTTTTAAATAATCCACAGTCATTGCACCCCTTGACCCGAAGGAGTAATGTTTTTCTTCATAGTGTTCTTGTAGCTTCAAGTATTGATATCTACTTTCCCCCAAAAGCAAAGCAGCTCCTTTACATCTTCCCAGAAATACAGCCTCATTTTTGGAACCCACACGTTTCTACTGGCCACTGCCGTTGTTGTTTTTAATACCAACATATTTAGATATAGGAAGAGTTTGGAAGCCTTATCATCTGGACTTCTAGGAACAGCCTCATAAAGCACTTGGCTTCAAGGGATAGCATTGATGCAGAGCTTTGATGTTGGCTGGGCTTCCCTTACCCTACAAGAGCCAGTTTACCTCCAGGAGGAACACAGGGGTGTCAGAACAGCCCAACACTGGCTTGCTTTTAGTTTCCATTTGAAATAAGCAGCATGGGGCTTGTTAACCTGGGCAGGAAGGCTGGGAGAAGCATGCCACCTTTGCAGTGATGAACTGAGCAATGTGAGGCATTCTAATGTTCTACTGACATACGTAACAGGAAGTGTGGTCACTACATCCAGTGACTAGAAAAAACTGGAAAGAAAAAAGACTCAAAGACTGGAATATTGTATGAGCACCCTCTAAGGAAGCCGTCTTTATTTGCATTTTTAGAGTGAACACATATATGAAAAACGCTGCAACAGGTTGACACAATGCTCAGTCCCTTTTTAAGTGAATTCCAGGGGAGAAAGTCAAGGACCTTAGGGAGCAGAGCAGTGGAATGCAAACATAGAAATTACCTATGAGTCACCTTTGTAAGCCAATGACACAGCCTCGCTGCAGCCATTCCAAGAAGTGTCTTTGCTCACGGCAAATGCGAAGTAAACAAAATGCCACATTGCGTATTTGAAACAAATGTGGCGTTGCCTATACTGGCCTGCTGTGCAGGGAAGGAATTTTGGTCAGACCATGACAAAAAAAAAAAAAAGGCAAATGGTGACATGGAATTAAAAGCACAATTCTTTGTGTCTGGGAACGTTTCACTGGCAACACCTGGAATAGTAGTTATGTTTGTCTTCCTATCCCCAAAGAAGCACAACAGAGGAAACAGACACAAAATGGAGGAGGGTACTGTTTACCAAGTTATTTCAGTGCAGCCTGTGGGAACGAATACATGGGCCACAGTGAGCAGTGCCCTTGGCTGTATTCCCCAGGCTTCTGTATGTTGTGCGATGGTTATTTACAGGAGGGTTTGACAAAAGAGAGTTAACTACTAAAGGTATCCAAAAAAGGCCTGAGAAAATCTGGTTAAAATGTATAACCTTGTATTGCTACTGATGGGAATAGTTGTTTTTATATCTTTTACAAATAATAAAAAGATTCTGTTAAAAAATAGATTTATTCAGAAAGATGTTGATTTGAATTCTGAAAAGCAACGTGGAATCATCATTTTCCCTTTTGAATGAAGAGCCATGGAGCTCCGTGGTTTTCAGCTCCCTTTCTGGTTGCAAATCCATCCTTCCTCTGGAGTGAGTCTAGGGCATGCAGTGGGTTCTTCCTAGGTGTCTATGTGGAAATCCTTCACTCGTGCAGGTGTGGAACACACCTAGTTTGGTTCTGTGTGTTCCAATATTTTGGCCAGCTTGCCCACTTCAAGAACAAGCCTCATGTTCCCCTAGCTGCTCCTTCAGGGACAGGATTAGCTGCCTTTGATTTAGCCTGGAGAATCCTGCTCTCAAAAGAATTGCCTTTACAAATTCAAATCAGATCCCTCGATGCGTGCAGTGAGGTGATGTGAAACTATTAGTAATGTTTAAGGCGAAGGCAACATCCATGGCCATTTGTGTATCTTAATTTGATGCAAATAGTTAACAATAATCTAAAATAGATTCTATATGTATCTCCTCTAACTTTAGCTGGGTGTGGAAGGAATGGAATCAGATAGAGATGAAGGAAGAATAATGACAATATCCTAGAAACCCTGTAAAAAGGTAAAAATAAGGAGTAGATCAGCACAGATTACCCATTTCTTTGGTGAACAGTAAAGATGTGTCTCCAATTCTCATAGACCACACTTTACAAAGGCGGCTGCTGCTCTCATATATAAAAGCACCCTGACTCTGCAATAACTTGTTTTGTTATCACTCCTTGATAAAAATTGATCTACAAACCTGCGGGGATTGGGGTTTTGTCTAAAGCTGGTAGTAAAAATGTGACCTGCAAGCCAATACAGCTAATGGAAAGTGATGATGCTCTCCTCCCCTTAGCCTGGAGATGGGGCCTGCAATCCCTGGTCCCTTCTCCACCCCAGGGAGCGGCCTGGATGGGCCCGGGAGTCCCTGGTTCTGCACCTCTGCATAAAGAAGGGGCAGCTGTTGTCTGCTGCACGCACACAAGGTGCAGGCCCTCAGCCCCGGGGCTCTGGTTGACACAGCATCTGTGACAGCCCAGAGCCTCTGCTCTGTGCAACCCACAGGCCAAAAGGTCTATTTGTCAGTGAGTGACAGCTGTAAGACTTGCTGGAGCTCAGCCTCTTCCTCCTGGAGCCGGAGCTCCCGTTCCTCCAGCTCTTTGGCAGAGAGCTCCATGGCCAGCTGCAAGTCATTATCAAAACGGCTTGTCTCGCTCAGGGCGCTGGGGCACAGGCCTTCTGTGCTGGTGAGGAGGCTCTCCTGGATGGCCCTGGGTTGGAAAACAGATAAAAAGGGAGAGTCACTACTATCATCATGGTGGCAGCAGTAACTACATTTCTTAACTGCTTACCAAGGGCATACTGTGCCAGGCATTTAATATGCATGATGCCATTTAATCCCACATAACTCTGGGGGTGTAAGTGCTGTATACAGGTGAGAAACCCCACACTCCTGCCCAAGACCACCCGACCAGTAAGTGATAGGGCTGAGAATTGAACTTGGATCTGTTTTAAAGCAAAACAGGTTCTTCATCAGCCGGCTCTCACAGACACCTTAAGTATATAAAAAGTCTTCGTGAAATGAATCCTTGCAGTTTTTCCCTAAATCTCTGCAGCTGTTCCCACAAACTTCCTTATCTTTACAATTATATAAACTTTCCACTGAGGACATCTAGGCCTTGTGGTCATACATCATTCACAGAAGATCAAACCAATCAGAAAACACTGACTCAGTACCTTTCCCCCAATGGCACTGACCTGTGAACCAGTCAGAAATTCTATCACCCATTCCTGGAAACTTGCTATCAAGTCCAGAGTTATTATAATAAGTAACTGCCACAAGAGGAAGCAGGAGAGCCAATTACTTTATCTAGTATTTTTTTTTTTTTTTTTTTTTGAGACGGAGTCTCGCTTTGTCACCTAGGCTGGAGTACAGTGGCATGATCTCGGCTCACTGCAAGCTCCGCCTCCCGGGTTCGCCATTTTCCTGCCTCAGCCTCCCGAGTAGCTGGGACTACAGGTGCCTGCCACCATGCCCAGCTAATTTTTTGTATTTTTTTTTTTAGTAGAGACGGGGTTGCACCATGTTAGCCAGGATGGTCTCGATCTCCTGACCTCATGATCTGCCTGCCTCGGCCTCCCAAAGTGCTGGGATCACAGGCGTGAGCCACCGCGCCCGGCCTACTTTTTCTAGTCTTTCCTGCCAGTGTGTGGCACCGTGCATCTGCCTGGGGACCAAATGCACAGTGCCACGCGTCTGCCCGCCTGTGTCCACGCCTGTGTCCATCCTGGTTTAATCCACAGTCACATCAGTCAATCACCTCTCATACTGGGCGTCATAGGTGTTTGTCTGGCTGATCCCTCCATTCGAAGCTGGTCCTGAAAGTTCCTGGCAAAGACAAATATGATAGACATGAATATGTCTTAGGAGAAATTGGTGCCATTCTGGAAAGGAAACAAT